TCCCCATCATCAACATTACATTAATGCATTCACTAACTTTAAAGCAACAAATGCAACATGATAAATGGGTAATTTTCAAATAAGGCTATACATACATAGCGTCAACCATCATCGTGGTTGTCTACTAACCTGGGATGCTAGGTAACAACTGACAAAAGACACACCAAAGTAGCAGAGTTATAGGTGTTCATCAAACAAAACCAAAGAGACTATCTCCCAATAGTAAGAGCCACATATAGTATGATGTAATGATCATCATATACTAACCGTGAAAAATGAAAGGAAACCTTGGAATCCTTTCTGATATATAAATACAACAACCACAACAACAATCGGCTATCAAATTGAAACAATATAAACAAAGGCAGAAGAGGAACTTATAGCAGTAAGCTTTCTGATTCTATGGAATTCGGGCAGCCATACCTTGCGACGGCATAGTTTGGCAGCACAGAACGGCAGCCAAGGAAAAGGGAATGATGGGTCTGGTCCATAATCCCCGACCGGAGAGAACCCCCCTCCTTGCTTCTCGATCCATCTCCCCTTTTTTTTTCTTTTCTTTTCCCTCCTCTTTTTTTCCTCCTCCTCATTCCTTCTTTTCTAATCCCCTTAACCCAATTATATATTTGGGCCTTTTACCCTCCGGTAGAAATTAAATAATTTTCACAACCTAAAGTTTCACAACTTCAAATGTTCGTAATTATACTGTTCTAATCCAAACTCGCAAACGGTTTTCGCCTATGCGCTCATGGCTTCGAGACCTATTCGAAAACGTTACTTGTGACCTCAAAAGATCAACGAGTAAATAATAATTTATCAAACTTCACTCTTTGTAACTAGTTTAATAGAAATCTAATTTCAAATAAATTAATATAATATCTCAAAAATAATATAAAATCTCAATAATACAAATACGTAAATTATAACAGTGCAATCCGAAAACGATATTTCACAATTCAATCCCCCTTGGAGAACTTGCCTAATTTTTATATGTATTACATTTCTTTCTTCTCCTTCCCATGATTCCCAGTTGCAAAGCCATGCCTGCCTACATCTTCTTTATCCTGCCTCAGCTTAATATTTCTTGATACAGAGGCTTCAAATGGAAACTGCATATCAATTAAGTGTACTCATGACGGCGCTCCCGATATTCGGTTTCCTTTCCATGTAAGAGGCCAGCATTCCCAACATCGTGGTCACCATGATTATGAGCTTCACTGCAACAACACCACTACCTTAATTCACTTCCCATCTTATGGTGATTTGGTAGTGAAATCCATCTCATACGATGTCAGAAAACTCGATCTCATCGACCCCAAGAATTGCATCCATCAAGTCTTTCTTAATCTCAATCTCTCCCTTACCCCATTTCGATATTACTATTCTCTAAAAGAGTACTCTTATCTCAATTGCTTCGTTAGGCTTTCGCCTTCTTTCACACGAGTCCCCTGCCTTAGCAGCTCCGGCTATCATGTTTACACTGTGGAGCCTTCTTTGTCTGTCCCAGATTCTTGCAAGGTAGTAAGAACGATTACGGTTCCTTTTAGGTATAGTCCTTATCTCTCAGAAAGTAGCTTTGGTCTCGGATTAACTTGGGACTTTCTTGGGCAACAAGATTGTGAAGCAAACGAAGTCCAAAGTATATAGCAGATCGAAACAGGCCAACAAACACCTGCTAAAGGTAGATTAATTGCCAGATTCCATCGTCCTTTCCTTTTCTTTCTTTTGATATTTTTATGTTCTTAATGATCATTCTATAACTTGGTTTATAGTAAGCATATTAACTCATTTGTTTTCATTGTAGTTGGAGGATATAAAATAATTCCGTCCAGAACAATGAAACGCCAGGTTATCGAGTGGGAACAAGGATGGAGCTATATGCAGGCAGAGATCACAAAGCTAAAGAGAATTATACAAGGATTATCGGAGCCTCAGTTCGGCACGGAAGATTATATGATGCTTTACGCAACTGTCTACAACATGTGTACTCAAAACCCGCCGTATGATTATTCTCAGCAGCTTTATGACAAATATCGGGAGACATTCCAGGACTAGATTACTCTAACAGTCTTGCCCTCCCTTAAAGAGAAGCATGGCGAGTTTATGTTGCAGGAGTTTGTCAAAAGTTGGACAAACCGTGAAGTTATGGTTAGATGGCTGTCGCGCTTCTTTCATTATCTTGATCGCTACTTCATCGCTGACAGATCACTCGCGAACCTAAATGAAGTTGGACTTAACAGCTTCCGTGATTTGGTCTATCGAAAGACCAAAGTTGATGCCAGAGTTGTTGTAATTGGTCTTATAAATAAAGAGCGCGAAGGGTAGAAAATTGACAGAAACCTACTGAAGAGTGTGATCAATATATTTGTTAAAATTGGCATGGGACAAATGGATGCTTATGAAGAGGACTTTGAAGCGCATATGCTAACGAACACTGGAAAATACTATTCTCGTAAAGCATCAAGTTGGGTTTCGGAGGATCCTAATATGAATTACATGTTAAAGGCTGAGGAATGCTTGCGACGGGAGAGGGCTAGAGTTTCTCATTACCTGCACTCAAGCAGTGAGCAGAAGCTAGTGGAGAAAGTCGAACATGAGCTGCTGGCGGTCTACGCAACTCAATTGAAGCATTCAGATTCTGGATCTGGTGCTTTGGCTAGAGATGACAATGTGGAGGGTCTGATTCTTTCTATATAGAAATGCCAAGCCGTTGCCAATGTAATAATGTATTTAAGCTGCAACGTTTCTGCAGATCGAATGTTTGTGCAACAATTTTATCATTTCCTGCGCCAAGTTAATCAAACTATTGCCTATGATTTTTGCTACATAACAAAACTGAAGAAAACTTCCCTTCCAAAGTAAATTTCCGACTTTGTATAGCTTCAATTTCGCTAAGTCCCTATTAACAGTACAGAAATTCAATGTGGGATTGCGTGGTCTCCTCATAACGTATCCGTCACATCTGATTTTATTCTTGAACAATAACATGGGGTTAGGGATTTGGATGAAAGTTAATTAAGTTATCAAATGCAGAACTAGAGTTAATTATGTTATCAAATTGCTCTTTGCAGTCAAACAATATCTAAGGATCTATGTAGTCGCGTAAGCATATCTTGTTATACTTAATAAGCACGTTGGAAGGCTAAATTTTTAAATCAAATTTGCAAACCAAATGATATGTCACCAATTCGAAATAAGCACTTTAATCAACACTTGAGTAATAATCCAATCATCAATAACCACAATATTTGATTTACAAAATTTGATATAAAAAAAATTGGTTTCTCTAGCATTACCCAATACTAAAATATGAATTTGAGTGAGGGTAAGCTAATAAGTAATAAATGAGTTAAAGATTTTTATTTTTTATATTTTTTGTAAGATAGATTTTATTTATAATCGAATGGGAATATTTACATCTTCTACCAAAATATTGAAAATAAACTCTGACCCAATACAGTCCCGTGAATTGCTCCCCAAGTGTAGGATACATAGAAAGCTATAGCATGCACAGCTTGGTTGCACTTTCAATTGGTGAACTTAAATGAGACTGATTGGAGTCATTGGGCAAGGAGCCTAATGTCATGTACGATACTCTCGAAGTATAGCATCATGCATGACATTAGGTTAGGTTAATAATGTTAGTAGTGACGTTTAATCTACTAAATCGAAAACTTGTGACATTCTTAATTTAACTAGAGTATCATGTGATAATGAATCTCTCACTACTTTAAATTACCCGTCATTCAAATTTTCTGTTAATTACAAACCGACGCTACCTGATATCGTTAGACGTAAAACTAAGAGATAATTAGTGAAAAGCCGGCCCCAATACAAACACATACAAACAATGGGGACTCAACTGAAACAAGCAGAAAACAACGAGGACTTGAAGGTAACAATGAAAACTACACGAACCATATTGAAATATCCTTATTTATCTGTGGTATATGCAAATGGGGTTTGGGGTTTTCTCTCCTCTAGCTCTTAGCTCTGCCTCTCATGGCGTCTGACAATCTGCCTGCTATCAAATGAGCTTCTGAAAAACTACCTCTCCTTTTGCTTCATTGGGCTCCTCTTCGCAGTTCTCTTGTCACTTGCTTTCCAATTACCTCTTGCAAATTACTTTGATCGGAGACCAAGATTGTTCCCAAATTCACAAGGACCGAAGTCGATTGCAGCCGAAAGCAGAAAAGCAAACCAAAATTTCACCGGCGAACAAGTCAAAGGTGAATTCCTTCTTCCCTTTCTGCTGCTTGTTCATAATTTCTGTTCATTTACTTTTTTAATTTTCGGTTATTTTCCCCTTTTAATTCTTTAGGAATTAGTAGTATTATAAATACAATTGAAGTGAACAGAATGCAATTGGATTTTAGAACACTTTATTTGAAAAGTAGAAAGTTAGAAACATGAGGAATATTTGCTCAAGCTTTGAAAGCATAGGATTATCCAATTCCTGAGACATACACATTTATTTTTTTATAAAAGGATCAATACATTATACGAACAAGAAAAACTCGAAAACCGTCGTGCTTAAGGTGTAATGAGGAGAGTAGTTGAGATCCTGCAGGGATACAGATGCCGATTTCTCTATAAAAGAAAAATCTGTCCAAATGTGCATATTATTTTTCAGTCATTGCTACCGGCACAGAGTTTAGTCCTACTACCCCTTTGAATCGTTCCTCGTAAAGTCAACATCATAGCCCGTTCATGCTGTATGTGTCGAAAATGGAAATCAAGGAGAGCTTTCAGTTGGGTTCTGTTGTTTGTATGCTGTTTTGGTCATCGAGGTTAGCTGACGGGAAAAAGGAATGCTATTATGGATTCAGAGTTGACTAGTTTAACATGTTAGCTTGTGATTGTTATGAATTAATGAAAGGAGAAGAATCTGATACAACATGCCAAATTGTAAATTTTTAATCACTCAAGGTATCTAGCTTGATAGAAAATCTTGTGTGTGTTTTTTTCAATAGTTGGAGGATTTTAAATTTCTGGCAACAACAATGGGTTACCAAGTTATCGAGTGGGATCAAGGATGGGACTACGTACAGCAGGGGATCGCAAAGATGAACAGGATTATACAAGGATCATCAGAACCTCAGTTCACCTCAGAAGAATATATGAGCCTTTACACAACTATCTATAACATGTCTATTCAACAACCTCCTCATAATTATTCTCAGCAGCTCTATGAAAAGTATCAGGAGACAATTGAGGAGTACATTTCTTCAACAGTGCTGCCGCCCCTAATGGAGAAGCATGATGAGTTTATGTTGCAGGAGTATGTCAAAAATTGGGTAAATTATAAAGTTATGTTTAGGTGGCTCTCACACTTCTTTTGTTTTCTTTATGACCATGGCATCACTCAGAATCAGACATCACTTCCTGGGCCGAATGAAGTTGTGCTTAACTGCTTCCGTAATTTGGTTTATCAGAAGGTAAATGCTAATGTGAGATATTATGTACTTGGACTTATGCATAAAGAACGCAAGGGAGAGAAAATTGACAGAGAACTACTGAAGAATGTGATAAATATATATGTTGAAATTGAAATGGGAGAACTGGATGCGTATGAAAAGGACTTCGAAGAATACATGCTCATTGATACTCGCAAGTACTATTTGCATAAAGCATCAAGTTGGATTTTGGAGTACTCGTACGCAGATTACATGTTGAAGGTAGAGGAATGCTTGAGAAGGGAGAGGGATAGAGTTTCTTGTTACCTGCTTCCGAGCAGTCAGAAGAAGCTAATGGAGACGGTGAAACATTGCTTGGTGGTGGTTCATGGAAATCAACTGATTCAGAAGAAGCATTCTGTATCTGGATGTACTTTGCTCACGGTTGAAAATCTGGAGGAGCTTTCTAGGAAATTTATTGCTAATTTGGCATTGGAACGGCAAGTCTCTGCTGAAGGTTCGCCCTTTGTTCAACAGGCAGAAGATGTAGCAATGATTGAGGATTGATGTGAGTCGCACTGCAACAATTGATCTGTAGAAAAATGGTAAAAAAATGTCTAGTTATTAGGAGTTTTACTTTCGGATATGCTGCAAACCGTGCGCTGCTTGTTTTGAGATCCTTTGACCCACCCTCTGATGTGTCATATAACTAACTACCTTGGTGCCAAGTATGTTTTGTAATTGTTGTCACTGTGGCATTAAAATGAATGTTTGGATAACAATGGAAAACGTGGTTGATAAAATCGCTGCTGTTATGTCTTAGCTTTGCGTACTTGTGTTCAAGCATCAAATTGTAGTTTCAATGCAGCGTTTGAATCCAAATGTTAAAAAACAAAATCAAGAAATAGACATTGCTTTACAGTGTCAGATCGTCTTCCCCAAATTTCCCCGTGCCCACCCACCCTCCTACCCATACCCAGATCTTCCCGTTGACCCGTGTCCGTCCCCCCCCCCCTCCCCAAGGCAACCCAAACCTTCCTTCACCACCTCACTCTCACGGTCACAAGTGACGCAGAGGGTCGGGACTCCCTCTCTCTCTCTTCCACATTCTCTCTCTCCCTCCCTCGAACCTTCTTCTTATTCTCCCAACACAGAAAGCAGAAAGCCACGATCTCCCTTCCTCCTCCTTCGGCGACGTCGCTCCACTCCTAGCTTTCTCTCGAATCTTCCCATCCAATCCAGCGACCAACCCCTCTTTCTTTTCTCCCTCTCTGCTTGTCCCTTGCGCTCGCCACCAGTGTCAGCACCATCAGCTTGAGTTCGCGCTCTACCTGCTCGAGCTTGCCCATCAGATCATACGACGAGCTCCTCCAAGCTGTCAAGATGCCAAAAGGGTTGAAGAGGATGCCGAATTGGTCCTCGTCTCTATCTTGGGCGTCGGTGAATTGAATGGTGAGGCTGTCAAGGAAGAGGAAGGGTTTCTCGAGAGGGTTTCGCGACTTGAACGGCGTTGTACGATCTGCGGTTAAATTTGGGGATTATTACATATTATTGAAGTTGGGAGATGAATTGATGTGGAAATTTTGATATGATTAGGAAATTGGGATTAAGAAAATACAAATGATGGTTTTGGGGGAGGAAAGGGTGAGCAGCTAGAGTGGGCACAATGCAGATTAGGGTTTGGTGGGTTGGATGGGTGGAGTTGAAGATGGAGGGGGAAGGGTGGATGTATGACGAGTCGAAGAGGAGAGGAGAGGAAGGTTTGGTGGGTTGGTGCAGGGGAGAGAATGGAGGGATATATAAGGGAGGAAGAAGATGTAGGGGGAGAGAATGGAGGGATAAGGAAGGAAGAAGATGTCGGGGGAGGTAAAAGAGGACCAAAAAAATATTTATATTATTTTTTGAATTTTTAATTTCCATGTGGACCCCTTAATGACATGTGGCGCCTAGTCATTGTCCACATGGGCGCCACGTCATCAGATAACAAGAGACTTAACAGTTTAACTAACGGATGTATGAAATTGTCCCAAAATTAACACTTCAGATATAACTCTGGGACGAAAAAAAAACTAGATGTAACAAATGTTGAAAACCACGAAACATGAGAGTAATAAACTGATATTTACCCTAAAAAATCTGATGAAACGGGATTTGACACCCCAGTTACAGTTAGTTGTTGAAGGGCATCCTGCTTCTTACCTTCAAATCCTAGTCAGACGTAACCCTTTGGTTAGAGCACTTTGACGCCCCCACTTAGTTAATGCTCTAAATAAGCCTAAAGTTGCGTAATTAATTAGAAGAATTAGGTCCCTTAGTATTCCAGTCTAGTAGTATTCCTCTTCATTTGTAAGTGAGAGGCCAATAGCCTAAGGTTTAGTGGTATTGCTAGCTCATTGTGAGGCTAAGTATTGGTTTGGTACTGATGTACTTTTATAAAAAGTGGGTATCAAAAAAAAATGAGCTCAAAAAGGTGTTTGGTAAACACTTAAAAACAACATATTTTCACAATTTTTGGTAAAAAAAACTAAAAACGTGAAGCAGCAAAAATGAGTTTATTCTCACAGCACAATAGAAACAGCTTTTTTTTTCAAAGCACAACAATATCAAACTAGCCCTAAGTCTACCCCTCTTAGTGTAGATAATCAAAAAAAACAAAAAACAAAAAAACAAAAAAAAAAAAAAAGGAAAGAAAAAAAACAGAAAAGAAAAGAAGTGAGAGGTCTCAAGTTTGAGCGAATTTGAATCACATTATTGCTGACTCGGGCTAAACCCATCTCTTCTTCTTAGTATGAATAATATCGTTTGTTAAAAAAAAAATATACGAGAGATAAAGCTTTGCTGTTACGAGGGGGTTGGTTTTGTTGTTTTTGCCTCTCCTTTTTAGTTTAACGACTTCCGTTTTCACTTCATAGCTTCACACAACCGTGTTTAATATCTGAACCGTTGACAGCTATTGACCCAAGTGAAGACGCGTTTTACAAAATCCTGACCGTTGGAAATCCTACCCTTGTGCCCAAAGTAAAGCCAATTGACGAAAAAGCCCTTTCCTTCCTAGGGCGGTCAGGAAGTCGACTCTGTGAAGTAGCAAGTAGCAACTGGGAGAGTGGGATTGCTTGCGTTGCACGAATCCAATTACAAATCCAATTAAACCAACTGAGTTGCAATCCAATTACAAAGCCCTTTCCTTTTTCAGTCGGGAGATAGTGGAATGAATGAATGAAGCAATAAATTGGAACCCTAATTTCCACACTAACCAAAATTTCCCGAATCTCAAACCACAATTACCAACTTGCCTCTCTCTCTCGTTATCTCAAAAACTCTCAGCTTTCAAGTCTTCTGTTCTCAGAGATCGGAACCCTAATCAGTGTTCATACGTTCTAGGGTTTTTCCTCAGAGATCGCAACTAGTTCTTTGGCGTTTAGGGGTTCAGTTTGGCCCGACATTAATTGTTGGAGGGTTGGTTCGGTTCCTTACGAGTTACGACCCGATCATGGACAAGTTTTGGATTACTAAGCAACTAGGCGGTGGTTGTTTCGGGACGGTGTTTGAGGCGCGGCACCAACTGACGGGTGAAATCGTCGCAATCAAGCATCTGAGGGAGACATTCAGTTCCTTTGAGCAGTGCGTAAACCTACCAGAAGTTCAGTCCCTTTCCAAGCTCAGGCACCCCAACATTGTCCAGTTGAAGGATGTCATCTTCGAATACAATTCTGTATTCCTTGTCTTCGAGTATATGCAGAGCAGTCCGCTTGATCTTATGATGAAAATGCCAACCAAATTCACCGAGGAACAAGTTAGAAGCATATGCTATCAGATGTTTCAGGGCCTGGCTTACATGCACAAAAAGGGCTCTACTTCCACCGTGATTTGAAACCCGCTAACGTGTTGGTTAACGATGGTGTGCGTGTGGTTAAGATTGCTGATTTGGGTTCTGCTAAGGAGATTGATGCACCTCCTCCCTATACAGAGTACGTCACTACTCGTCCGTATCGTGCTCCTGAGGTGTTGCTTCAGTCAGGGTTGTATGGTCCTAAGGTCGATATGTGGGCAATGGGCGCCATCATGGCGGAGCTGTTTTCGTTCCAGCCTCTATTTCCCGGTCAAAGTCCTGATGATCAGATGTTCAAGATTTGCAGTGTCATTGGCACTCCCACTTGGGAGTCTTGGCCAGAGGGACAGCTTCTTGCCCAAAACTTGAACTATCAGTTTCCACAGCTTCACGGTGTTGGTCTGCCTGCGATGATTCCTTCCGCGAGCAGATCTGCCATCCAGCTGATTTCTTCCCTTTGTTCTTGGGACCCTTCTGCGAGGCCTACTGCTGATGAAGTACTCCGACATCCCTTCTTCGTTGGCAACTACAAGATTCCACGCGCAATCCCTTGGAGACAAAGCAATATTCTGCCTACATCGAATTCTATTATTTTCGTGTAGCTTTGACACGAGTGATTTGGTAGTTAATTGCTTTTGATTCATTAGCTTTCAAAAACTAGATACAAATTTTATTTTAACGAGTATAGTTTATTTGAATGCTCAAAGTAGAGTGGCAGCAAGCCAACTACATGTAATGTATGTATGCATGAAACAATTTCGTAAGCTCTCGTTAATCTGCAATATATAGCTACAAATTTCATTTCAATTGAGTCACATTGTTTTGTTTGGTTCAGATTTCAGTGTTTGAAACATAATCAGACATCGACGCTTTAGTAAGTAAACGAACAAATTACTTGCAGGCTAATTTGCGAGTAAAAGGAAACTCAGAATACATAACGCAAGGCTTTAATTTACAACTCAATCCGTACTTTACAGTACGGATTAGTCAGGAACTCGTCTACAACCCTATGATTGACCGAGAATTTTCGGCAAAGTACAACAGAAATCGAAGTGAACAAAATCTAAAATCTTCTGTATCTATTGATCTGATCATGCTGAAACCAACTTAAGCTGCAGAAACCACTGTTGAAAAACACCGGATATGATACTGGTATCTCAGTGGATCGAAGAGGAAAAGGATAAAGAGGTGAAATTCATACATCGGTCAAGATTAACGAAGATACAATCACAACATATGCCAGGAAAAAGAAAATGGCTATCTGCACGTAGAACTTCGGATTTTCCCTCATGTTTGGAGATGTAACAGCCCTGTAAACAAAACCATACATTCTATTTGTTAAAGCTAGAAATAAAGCAGCAGTAAGCAGATGAAACTGAGCAAAATGTTGGAGAAGAGAAACCGATTAAGTTCAGGTACCTGACTATCTCTGCGGAATTTATGGTTGCAAAAAAAATTACCTAGCAATACGCTGAGAAAATCGATGAAAAGGTAAACTCTGAATGAAGACGATGCCTGGCCCAGTTAGAACAGCAGTTACCAGATTGTCACTCTGTGATTTGGTCAACAGTTAGGAATACTGGATTCTTGGAAATTGGAAATGGAAAGAAATAGCATGCTTAAGTTATATAATTTAGGGAGCTGGAAAGCATATTAGAAAAGGTTTTCACTCAAAGTATCTTTTTCAGCTTGGGGGAGGATTCTTTTAATAATCCGCCGGGGATGGTTCAATTAAATT